CCCCCGCCCCCCGCCGTGCTCACCTTCCGCGTGCTCAACTACGACCGGCTGGAGCACGTGCTGCCCAACCCGCAGCTCCTGTGCTGGTGAGTGCCCCCGCGGGGCCGGCAGCGTGGGCGCGACGCGCTCGCCGCGCGCTCAGCGCTCTTCTCCCGCGCAGCGACGCCGCGCCGGCCGCCGCCGGCACCAAGGAGTTCTGGGTGAACATGCCCAACCTCATGGCCCACCTCAAGAAGGTATCGGAGCAGAAGCCCCAGGCCACCTACTACAACGTGGACATGCTCAAGTACCAGGTAGGCACCGTGGGCGCTGGCGGAGGGTCCGGGCCCCGCGAGCGCCCTCCCTTCCGCCCGGCGGAAACTGAGTGTCTTCTCTGTCGTTTTGGAAGGTGTCTGCCCAGGGTATTCAGTCTACTCCATTAAACCTTGCAGTGAGCTGGCGCTGTGACCCCGCAAGCACCGACCTCCGCATTGACTACAAATACAATACAGAGGCAATGACTACGCCCGTAGCTCTCAACAACGTGCAGTTCCTCGTGCCCGTCGACGGAGGGGTCACCAAGCTCCAAGCTGTGCTCCCGCCCGCTGTTTGGTATGAAGCGCGAACCCGCCGTTGGGGCCCGCCGCTCGCTCCCGCTGCAACGCCAGCTCGCTCGCGCGAGCAAGCTGCTGCCAGTGCTGCAATGCTGCCCTGCTCATGCGACTGAGTTGGTGCTTCAATGCCAGCTTGCTCGCACCGGCTAGCTGGTGCCAGTGCTGCCTCGCTTGTGCAAGCGAGTGGCTGCTTGTGTTGCAATGCCCTCTTGCTCATGCAAGTGAGCAGCTGGCCTGCTCGTGCAAGCGATGCATTGCTGCAATGCCTTGTTCACGCAGTGCTCTGGTGCTGCTGCTGCTGCAACACCAGCTCACTTGTGCAAGGGAGCTGTGGGCGCCGACTCCACGCACAGGCGCACGTGGGGCTTCCAGCCTCGGCTCTAGCACGCGGTGGGGAGGGCCTTACTGTGGCACGCGCTGCTGCAGCCCGCTCGGGCGCGAGGCCGGTCCCCCCAGCGCTCTTGGTGCGTTTGCAGGAACGCCGAGCAGCAGCGGATCCTCTGGAAGATCCCCGACATCTCCCAGAAGTCA